GGAGCAAGGACGCTACTAGGGGCTCCTGGCCGTACTACTAGGAGCAAGGACGCTACTAGGGGCTCCTGGCCGCGCTACTAGGAACAAGGACGCTACTAGGGGCTCCTGGCCGTACTACTAGGAGCAACGACGCTACTAGCAGCTCCTGGCCGCACTACTAGGAGCAAGGACGCTACTAGGGGCTCCAGGCGTACTACTAGGAGCAAGGACGCTATTAGGGGCTCCTGGCATCGCTACTAGGAGCAAGGACGCATCGCTACTAGGAGCAAGGACGCTAGGGGCTCCTGGCATCGCTGCTAGGAGCAAGGACGCTACTAGGGGCTCCTGGCATCGCTACAGGAACAAGGACGCTACTAGGGGCTCCTGGCCGTACTACTAGGAGCAAGGACGCTACTAGGGGCTCCTGGCATCGCTACAGGAACAAGGACGCTACTAGGGGCTCCTGGCCGTACTACTAGGAGCAAGGACGCTACTAGGGGGTCCTGGCATACTACTAGGAGCAAGGACGCTACTAGGGGCTCCTGGCGTACTACGCTAGGGGCTCCTGGCATCGCTACTAGGGGCTTAGGATTCAAAGCGTTATTTTATTCATTTGTTTGATGGATTGGATGACAGGTGGGCAACTCCAAGGATCGGGTCATCAACCCGGCATTTACCAATGCTGCCAACCCAGACATGGAACTCCTGTGTCGCCTGACGTCTACTGTAGCACTCTAATAGTTGTTGTCATCTGGAATCAACTTCCACAAAACCAGTGAACGCATTGTCAGCATGACCTGTATCCAGTTTCAGGTCTCGCATACTGTCCACCACTTGACCTTTGGGGAGGCCACATCTTTGGGGCACATAAATGCCAGTCAGAACGTGACAATGACAAAGTTGGAGGGAACGGATGGTTGCTGGTAGTGTCATTCGCATGCTTTTGTGTGCTTCAGTGCCAATCGCTGGAACGAATTCAGCAAGAGATCCCTCCAATGTGCCTGATGTTTTCAAAGCGATGTGCAAAAGCCTTGAGCAACGTCAAACTGTGCTCGACCGCTTCTAGGCGCCTCGAGGGCTGAAGTCGGCACTTCCTTCTGAGTGTGGATCGTAGATTCGTCGTAGACGGTCGACACCGACTTATTTGGCTTAAACAAACTGTATGTTCTTAGTTCTTGCGTTTAAGTTAGGTGTGTTTTTGGCATTTTAAACTCAGCCAGCTCTACAGCTCTGACTTGGCATTTGATTTCCTGTGCCCCAGTCAAGGTACCGAAATCACGTCAATCCGCTGGATGGACAAACCTTCATTGCGGATCCTTTCCTCAATAGGAATTCCAAATGGACCTCTGTGGAAATCTGCGTCATGGTGCATTCTCCGAGGACAAGTTCCACAAAGCGTTGAGCCACTTCATCAAGGCGAAGCCGCAAAGCTCTTGGAATTACTCGCGTGGACTGTCGGACAGACATTTTTGCAAAACAAGTAGTAGGAAGGGTCTTCTCAGTCTTCTGATGTTTTGTTCAATCCTATTGAAATCTTTCGGGGGTGAGTAGTTTTTTCCAGCTCAAGATGTTTTTAAGACCATTTATCTGCAGATATTATTTCCACTCGACTGTGTTCCAACAGCACTTACCCTAATTCATGATTACGCATGATTACGATGCAGGTCAACGTCAGGTTGTGACCAGTGTACTTGCAGGAATTTGTTGGCTCCTCAATAATAGAAGCACCAAAGTATGTTTTTCTCACTTCGGTCGATTCCCTATTAGCGATGCATCGCTTTTATCGGTTTGCACTTTTCTGTGTTTGTTTGAAGTTTTGTGCTGCCCTTTGTCCGTCTTCTTCCGGAGGTGGTCCACACCAGGTTTGAAGATTCAGGGCTTCGTAGTTACCAACAAACTCATCAATGGTGCGAGTCTCAGAGACTGCAGTGAGACACGGAAACACATTTAGTACTTAAGCAGTGCTGAATGCTGAAATTGAAATTTGTCATTTTGGTCTATTGTTTTTGTATTTGCCCGAAAGCAGAACTTGATTAAAACCCTTGCCCTTGCAAGACACACATGTTTATCATTCTGCATATTCTGGCACGATGAGCATTGACAATGCTTGTGACCAACAAGAGCCTGCTGCTTGACTGACAGTACAAACCTGGTCTACACAGTATACCCTGGCCAGCTACTGGTTGTGCTTGGGACTAGAGAGGAGATTGAAATCCTGTTTGGATGCCTATATTGCAAGAGCCAAGACCCCTGCTTTTTGTTCGTCCTCCTTGATCACGTTCGTTTGCATCGTCTACCGAAATGTCTGCAGAACTTGATCCAGCACATCACCTTCTGCAGTGATTCTGATTGCGCCGTGTCCCTTTCCCACGGATTGCACGCCAAGCCTCAAGCATATTTGTGACATTGGACCTCGGGCAATGTGGTGTGCGCACAACGTCTTGATGTTGATGTTCCTGCTCGTTGGTCTATAGCTCCAGAGTCAAAGTATGTCAACGTTGTCCTGAATTCAAGAAGACATCAGTTAGTTTTGATCGATTAACCTTTTCGACTGCAGTTCTTATTCTTTTTGCTTGCTGCATTTTGCTGCTATTCATGATGGATTTGTTAAATCTTGATCCCACAAAGTGCACGCCACTTTTCTTTCAGCCGATCTTAATCCTACGGATATGAGACTCAATTTGCTCAATCTTCTTGTCAACTCCTGGTCAATTCCTCAAGTTTTGAAGTTTTGTTAGATTTGTGTTTTTCATGGTTGCCTTTCCTTTATGTACTGTATCGTATCAAGTCCTTTGTTTGTTTCCCATTGTTTATTTTTGTGATGAATACATTGGTTGCGTACAGCCCTTCCTTTGTTGAGGTCTTCGTTTCTACATATTATTTTACCTGTGCCTTTGGTCATTCTTTCGTGCGAAAGTGGGCTGTGTCTTAAATATGCTGGACTCAAGTGACTGTTGCAGGATATGAGTCAATGGCGTTGGCAATAGACTGCACATTGTCCTCAAACATCATCTTCAGTGTGCGGTGATGGACTACAAAGACCGTGAACTGGAAACCCAAGAGGGCTTCAGATGGACAAGGCTTGACAAGAACAAAGCACTCATCAGCATTGCAAGCATTACCAGCCTCCATCCAAAACTTCAAACGTGCAAAGGCCAGGAAATGATGATCATTTGGAAACCATCGGAACTTCGATCGCTCACAAAAACTCATGAGGAGGTCAAGTTGGACACAAGGTCACAAGGCTTTCAGGCTGCGTAGGGCCCCATCTAATCTTTGATAGTTGATGCTACAATTTGCTTGCTGATGCAGCTGCCCTTTTTGATTTTTCTCCCAGGGAAGTGAAAGTGGCCTTGAAGCTTTCAGTTTCCTTCGTACGTTTGGCTTTCGCCTAGGAGTGTACAAACGTTACAGCGAGGAACCACACCCCAGGCGATTAAACTCAACATGCAAATGTTCAACGTGCATTGTGTCGATTGCGTTTGGTTTCAATGCTTTGAACGTATCCAGGCCAAATTCTCCTATGACCTGGCACCTGTGGAGGCTAGCGGCCAGCTGTTAGGAATTGCGTACAATGACCATTGCAGACTTTGGTCCAGGTGGTTATTAGCAAAGGAGAACGGCGCTGGTGGGAAGCACAGTGAAGATGATATTCCTGCTAGGCTAGTCTTCACGAGAGTTGTGGCTCTTAGATCCCAGATCTTTTGTGAGAGTTGCTGTGGTGGCAGCTGAGGTACGACTACATCACGCAAATTTTCGCCATTACCGGCGGGGTCGCATCCCTCAGAACAGTCGAGTCTCAGCTGTTTTCCTTTTTTCCCGGAGGTTGTGCTTTTTGGTATGTTGTAAATGTAGAAGTATGTTTGGTTTTTCAATTTTATGTTCCTTTCAACACGTTTGAAAGCAGTCCGGTTTTCATTGTTTCCGTTGTTTGCTGCTTTGACAGTTGTTTTTGTTCGTCCACCCACCCGCCTAAGCCCCCTCTCTCTCTCTCTCTCCCGCCAGGCCTTCACCATCATGTCGCTTGCTACTAGCTGCCTGAAGGCATCTGGCTCACACGTGAAGAGTGCGCCGTGATGGAAGTCAAGGAAGCTTCCTTCACATGGCTAAATGTTCAGCTTTGAGAGCTTGTGGGGCATTTTGCCCCATCCAGGTATGCTGGACAAGATGAACTAGAGCTTGTGGAACTCCAGAAACACTCCTGCAGGCAGACAGACTTCTGTGCATTTTGGTATTATGTGTCTTGAGAAGCACGAGTGATGATAATGAACAAACATCCTTTGCAGCTGCCCACCTCAACGTGGTTCCTGACATTAGCTGTTGGGCATGGAAGCTCACATTCAAGTTTTGTAACTTTCCTGAAAGCTCTCCAAGCTCGAAACATGATGCTGGAACAAACCAATCATGTTGGCAGCAGTTTTGATGGGCAAACCGAAAGCGCCGCAACCTACTAGGTTAACAGGGTTGGGTTCGCACAGCTCAGAGTGAAAACATTGCCATCATGGTAGCCACAGCAAACGCGCAAGTAAGAACATTTTTACGTGAAGAAGATAGAGGCAATGACAGAGTTTTCCTGGGTTCAATCAACATCATGTTCTATCATAGATCCTCAGCAGAGACAAATGGACGGAGGGTACAAACATGGATACCAGTGGACCACAAGGAAGGCAACTTGCAAGGGAGCTGATGAATGTGGAAACCCTCAAGTCATGTTTTGGGATGCAAACTTTCCATGTTGAAGATCACAGTGCAACTCTGCCCAGACCTTTTGACACCGGACTATGACTGCAAGAAACTTGAAAGGAACAGAAAACACGATTGACAGGGCAGCGGCTTAGTTTGGTGATTGCACCGGGTAGTTTCTTCTTTGCAAACTCGCAGCAGTAGGACCTGTAGTTTCCTTCAAAGCTGTTCTGAACAGGATGATTCCTCGCGGCGACATAATTCAGGGTGGGGTTGTGAATGTAGAGGGACGAACGTAGAGGGACCTATATTCTTGAGTGACTCCATCCTCCTCGACCGCTCCTCTCGACTGCGCTCTCGTGGTGGTGCGGGGCACATTTTGGGACTTGGTGATCACTTTTCGTGGGAGGCGCAAGGGAAACCTCCTGTTGTTGCGGTCCAAAGTAAACTTTTCGTGACACGTGCAGGGGATTGCAGCGGCTTTACGTCGATTTGCAGAGTTCGTGGCAGGCGCAGAACTTTGGACATGGTGGTGGTTTTCGGCGTGTGACTTTTGGACATGGCTCTTTTCAGAAATCAGAGGAAGTCTCGAGCGAAAGCTGCGTGTTGGTATCTTGCGGATGTCTTGGAAGTGCTCTTAATGCAAATCGCCATGGCCTTGGCAGGGCTGCGCGATGTGAATCTTCATGCGCAGATTTCGTGGCAGGCGAAGTACTTTGTGGACCTTGAAGTGTAGAGTTCGCGCAAGCGCAGCACTTAAAGTGCAGGGTTCGGACCTTGAAGTGCAGATTTCGTGGCAGGCGCGGCATTTTGTGGTGCAGATTTTGTGGCAGGCGTTGGTGGACCTGGAGTGCAGATTTCGTGGCATGGGCAGCAAGCGTGCTCTCATATGTATGCTCTCACGATCACGCACTCGCACTTAGGCTTTTGCATGTCCTTTCATATGCGAGCTCTCTTGGCTTCCAGCTGCAAGCTGCAGACTTCAACCTGGCTTGCGAACCTCCAGCGCCGCCATCACCGCCATCACTACAGTCACCTTTCACCCATGGCCATCACCACCATCGCCACCACCACGACCACCACTGCCACCACCATCATCGCCATCACCATCACCACCAACACCGCCGTCGTCATCACCACCGTCACCATCACCACCATCACCACCATCACCACCATCCACCATCACCACCGCCCACCACCACCACCATCATCACCACCATCACCATCATCATCATCATCACTCATCACTCATCACTCATCACTCATCACTCATCACCGCCACCACCATCATCACTCATCACCATCATCATCCCCATCACCATCACCACCACCACCACCGCCACCGCCACCACCACCACCCCACCATCTTCAGCACCGCCGCCACGACCACCATCTTCACCACCACTAGGCCTTAGATCAAAAAGACTCATCTTCACCACCACTAGGCCTTAGATCTTTAGACTGTTTGGGTCTTGCCGGGTTAATTCCCAAAACGGTGTGTCCACACTAGGGGCTCTCACGGCAATAGTTAAGGACAGGTGTCTGATCGAGGTGCTACAGTGCATTAATTCACCTGCGCATTTCAACTGCGCAGGCTCGCAGAAGTGGCGCATTTTCGGGCTTGGTGATCACTTTTTGTGGCAGGCGCGAGGGAAACCTCGTGCTTTGGGGGTCTAAAGGTCGTGACACGCGCAGGAGTTTGAAGGGTTTTATGTCGATGTGCCGATTTCGTGGCAGGTGCAGTACTTTGTATCACCACCATCATCTCCACCACCACATTCATCAACACAGCCACCACCCACCACCACCCACCACCCACCACCCACCACCACCCACCACCCACCACCTTCATCACCACCATCACCATCACCGCCGTCACCACGACCACCACCTTCATCACCACCATCACCATCACCGCCGTCACCACGACCACCACCTTCATCACCACCATCACCATCACCGCCGTCACCACGACCACCACCATCATCACCACCTCTATCGCCACCGCCATCACCACCACGACCATCACCACCATCACCACCGCCACCACCATCACCACGATCACCACCTCGATCACCAACAACATCACCACCAGTACCTTCTCTGGAACCCAAGTCGCCTTAGATCGGGTCTCGTGCCGGGATATTTCTTTGGTTGTTGTTTTCGTATCGTTTTCGGAGGTTCCTTCGAGATGAACACGACCCGAACCGCGACGCTTCGCAGCTGGGGTCACGCCGACCTGGGACCCGTCCAACTTCGTCAAGCTGAGGAACGACTCAAAGTATGTTGGGTGGCCAAAGTGCTGCCTCAGGCGTTGGTCACAGCGAAAAAGAACTGACTAAACATGGTGACCAAACGTTGCGGAAAACATTGTTCCACATGGGCATGCAACACTTGCAGCATACGATGACAGATTCGACGTGGATGCGTATATCTTCCCGCACGTCAACTTGTGGAGACACAATCAGTGGTTCGTCGTTTGGCGGGACGCGAGCAGGTCCGTTGCTAGTTTGTGACCGTCCATTGGAATTCCCGTGGCTGATTGCTCCCTTTTCTGACCTGCGGCTAGACGCCCTCCGCAAGGAAAGCTCCCCTTTCAAGCAGGCAGAAGGTCTCAGAAGGTGCAAGATCCTTGCGAAGAAGCTTGCAGCTTGCTTACTTACTTTAGTGTCGAAACAAAAGCAGATGGCCGCGTACGCTGATGGCTTGAATTCCAATACCATCCTTACATAGTTCAACATGTTCAACCTAACATTTGCACGCATGAGTCTTATATAGCGTTGATTGGGCGTGATCGGAATTCCTTCATCATTCGTTTGATTTGGTTGACTTCGTCGCCACACCCTCCCCAGTTGTCTTCATTCTTGGAATTGAGCAACGAATCTTTCTCGTGTGCGTTGGCGTTTTTGTTTTTTTGCAACACGTCAACATGACAGATGATGTAGCTACACGGATCCGCCATGATCCAGAGAATGATAGTGTTAGCTTGAGTGGCGATCAACTCAGTTGCCCCTACAAACACACCAGTGAACCGCTACCTTTGGTGCTCCCGGACCTTGCCTGAACGCGTCACAGGAAGGCAAGAACCCACTGCTGTTGCAGTTTCATGCAGTTGCAGCAGTCGCACTTTGCTGCAGGCTCCGAGTTGGTAGCTGGCTCACACTCCGGCATTTTTGACTCCTTTGACAGCTGCATATCTTTTGGCATTGTGTCCTTTGTGGTACCTTATCACTTTCTTCAAAAGCATTGCGCTCGGCCCTGTGCCTTGTGCCTTCTGCCGCTGCGCTTCCCATCCAACCTAGCTCTTTCGATAGAGTGTTCTCAGTGCTTGACTGAGTGATGTCCTTGTCAGACATGTTTTGTTGCTGCAGGACGACGTTGGATCCTGTGGCTGGCCCTGAACTGAATGCCCTGGTCTGTATTTGAATCCCACGGCTCTCAAGCCATCCCTTTTCCTGACTGCAATCTGGCTCATTGCCTTGACGTCGCATCGCCATGTTTGGCATTGTTTGGTCTAATGCACGCGAATGTCGCATTCAAAAACCAGAATCCACCCTTGCAACACGAGCGCACTTCATGCTTTGTTCAGAGGAAGATTGGAAGCAACCAACACGTAAAGCGATGCATTGTGCAAAAACGCGCCCTTTTCATCCCAGGTTAACTTTCATTCCAGAAGCAAGTGACACTGCTATGTAACAATGTAGTTCTCTCACGTGGGATCCTGGACATGCGAGAAGCCCCAGAACTTCAATTAAGCCCGCGGTGGAGAAACGAATGCTAGGGCGGCATTCTGCAACCCGTGCCAGCCCAGCCTGCATGAGCAATAGCGGCCCAAATGCAACATTTTGCCGCTGATGCTCAAGGGCTCATGCAGTCAGAAGCAGCCTTTTCTCTTGATTGATGGCCTTACAGGCCATACATGCCAAATCTTTAGTCCGACGCCATACTGTAGTCACTGTAGTCCTTCAGATGCAATTTGAAGAACATCGTCAGCTTGGGCTTTTCGGGCAATTGCTGAGAGATGTTTAACGTTTAAAGTGTTATGAACCTTGGTTAGATCCATGGTGGTCATTTGGCAAGTCCTTTCAACCTTAGTCCAATTGAAGTTGACATAGCGAAACACATTTTTCCAGCGCACCCCAAAAAGCAAGCAGTCTAGAGCCACGTTCCCGCTAAACTTTGTTGATTTGTTGATGTTGCACCTGCATGTTCGACTTGCGTGCTTGACAGCGACGCCCTTGGGGCGCAGTTGGGCATCACAAGCATTATGTCCACCTAAATCGATCAAATCCATGTGCAAGGCAGTACCGCGCCACCTCACCTAGCTGTTCACCCACGTGGCCTTGACCCATGCCAGCCATTGACGTGACGCGAACACAGTCGCGTCTCACCGAATGTTTCGCTGGGTACCACATAACAAGTCAGGCACTACACTCACCACGGGTTGTCAGCAAAGGAATGGCACAATGGCTTACAGGCAGGTTTCGGTGAGCTATGAAGCGATCAAGTGAAAGTCCAGTACTATTAATGATTTCTTGTTACACCAAGAGAAAGCATCTTGCAGCAACAGAACCATCAATTTTAGAAGCAGGCGGAGGAGCAGCAGCTAGAACAAGAACGGGAGTAGGAATGGCAGCTTGAACATGCCAAGAACAAGGTAAGACCGACCTTTTGCACTCGGAAATTGTTGACCTTCTTATGGTTGATGCATTAAAGAAAACATGGTGGACACTGTGGAAAAGGTATGAACCAGTTGTTGTTGCAAATCGTTTAGCATGGTCAGGCTTGTTCAGGCAACCTCAGAGCGGATTGGAGTGTTTTTGTTTTCCAACATTAGTATTATGCCTTGACCAATCGTGTCATCGCCAAAGCTCGAATAGTTGTTCTCTAAATGAGGGACCCTGGATCACCCAGGAGCAGTCTGATAACACAATCTGCGCAACGCAATCGATCACGGTCGCAACTCGCCTTGACGACTCTATTGGTCCAAGGTGAAAGGGTTTACCGAAAGAGGTCGAAGTTCCAACAGAGGTGGGAGGGCACCCACTGATTCCAAGTAACAAAACCAACGCTAAAGACAGCACAGGTGTCCTGCGCGGTCATTGCCTTGTTTGGTCTATACGCCGGCAAAAAGAATTGCAAAGAAAGCCCGACACGACATGACAAAGCACCGAAGCGATCGTTCGATAACGCAAAGCCTCGAAGTCACGAAAGTCGCGTTCTTACAACCCCACCCCTCACCCCCACCCCCCACCCACTACCTCCGTCGTCCAAGAAGCGCGACGCCGCCCGAGTCCCATATGTCCGTCTCACGGATGCCCGGCACGTCCAGCGCTGCGCTTCCTGGCATAGCCGACTTAGGGCCTGAGGTGTGAGGCGGTGACCGCCCCCGATCGGATTGTCCCAATTCAGTCGCTGCCTCGGGTGGTAGGTCTTTTGGGCCTGCAAGCCGCCTGCACCCCGCTATCCTGCGCAACCACCCGCAAGGCAAAGTTTGCTTGCCCAGGACAGAGCGGGTAGCATTGAGAGCTCCGAAAAGTGTGTCCAGTAACTCAAAGTGAGCCACACCTGCATCGGTACCTTGACTTTGCCGGGATGGTTTTCCACAGAAGAAAAGCATAGAAAGGCAAATACTCACTGTGTTGATGCACGAATGTGACATCATGTCATTTCATGGATGATCCGTTCGTCCTGGCTCAATGCAGGGCCCTTGAGACACGGCAGGTTACGACCTTTCGACCTTGCGGTTGAAAACCCGCGCCGCGCGCGCTTCTTTTTGATCGAGATTGTCCCGACCGACTTCGTTCGCGGAAGGGAGAGGACTTTAGCTACCTCGATATTGGTAGCGGAGCCCGACACGCTCCAGGTTGCCTTTGCCTTGGGTGAGACTACATCACTGCGCATTTGTTGAAGATCCTCCTTGAGGAAAAGAGTGTGATCATCTCAAAGATCGTGTACGCCCATGGCAGGTAAAGGCAATGGAAAGCCGCATCGAGGAGGTGGAGAACCTGACGGCTCGGCAGCTGGATCAGGAGCACAACTACCTTTTTCCCCTCCAGTTCGTGGCTTAGATGGCGGACTCGTCAAGGCATGTCCGTCGACAGAAGGATTGACCCAGCGATCCTACAGAAGCTTTCGTCGAAGATTGGAACTATTTGAACGTCAATGCCATCGTCGCTCAGTTGAAGCAGCTGTTGAAGGAGCACTACTGTTGGTTTCCAGGTTGAATGACTTGGCCTGGGATGCTACGGAAGCAATGGACTTCTCGGCTTTGGAAAGCAGTTCAACTCCTTTCAAGCCCATCTATGCCATCCTCGACGGCATCTACCAGTACCAGCATGAGGTTGAACTCCCAGCACGATGTGATGAGTTTTTCACGGAGTTCAGTCGCCACAAGAACGAAGAGATGCAAGCCTATCTCGTGAGGCATCGCACCATGATGACGAAGATGAATGAAGTGAAGGTGCAAATACCAAACCTACTCGCAGGCTGGCATCTCATGACTCGTGCAGGAGTTCCCAAGTGGACTCATGTCCAGATAAAGGCCCTATGTCAAGGTGAACTTGAATATGAGAAAGTCCAAAAGGCCTTGATGAAGATGTTTGGCGGTGACCACAAGCCGAACACGAAAGACCTCCGTACAGGTGGAAAAGATGAGACCTTCTATGAGGAGGAATGGGAGGTCTACGACGATGAAAAGGCCTATGAGATGACGGAGGAGTACGATTGGCCGGAGGAAGAAGCCTATGAGGCTGATGAAGATGAAGAGTGGCCGGAGGAGTTGGACGAAGCCTATGACCAATGCGATGAAGCATACATCAGCTACTTGGAGAGCAGGCGGAGGATGCGAGAGCTGGCGCTGTCAAGAGGCTTCTACCCCGTGGTTGCCATTCCGCCGGACGACAATGGAGGTGGAAGAAGTTCATGGAAAGGCGGAGGTGGCAAGAGCAAAGGAAAAGGCAAGAGCAAAAGCAAGAGCAAAGGCAAGGGCAAGGGCAAAGGAGCCAGTTCCGGCTTCAGGAGAACCTTTGACAATCGCCGCCCTATGTCAGGACTTCGATGCCCAACGTCATTGAGCTCTTCCATGGGATCCACCGAAAGTCCAAAATCCACACTGACTGGTTCCACCGCAGCACATGGTCCCCGCTTCAAACGCTATCGTGTGCAGGCAAGCGGTGTGAAGGAGGTCCCAGAAGAAGGAAACATGGTGGAGGAATTGGACTACAGCTTCGAGACGGTGACAGTCAATGAAGAGCACTGCCTGTTCACAGCGTTAGAGCCTGGGAAGGCCATTGTTGATTCAGGAGCAACTCGCACCATTGCAGGTGAAGATGTTTGGAGA